ACGCTCCGGCGTTGTAGCGGGCCTCCTACTGCTCATGTGGCCTTTGCTGTCGGCCTGAGTCAAGGATCGGCCATGCAGTGAGCTGATTCCGAAAGGATTTCAGCAGACTCAGTTTTGAGTTTTGGAGCGATACAAGCCAAGGACCCAAGGCCCATGCAACATCATGCGATCATGCAATGATGGCTTGCTGCAGCCAGCCCCAGGTGCCCAGCAAAGCCGCGAAGATCGCCTGACATTGCTGCGATGGCTCTAGGCCGGGCCCACGTAGCAGGCTCTTTCGAAATTGACATACACGGCACGATCATCTTTCAGGCTGAATTTGTCTGAAGTACCCTACCCAAACTTGAGGCCGTTGTGGTAGGTCTCCACTTGTAGGCGCAAGGTTGGGAGTGCCGTCAACTGCGGCCGGTGTGTTGTGCTTGGTGAGGTTGAAGACCGAGAGGACTTGCGCAGTCGCCGTTTGGCGCACAAGTCGTAGCCCACGGACTTGCCAGGCGTGCGCGGGCAATGTCGAGGGGGCCACACAATCTTGCTACTTGTAGGCGTGAGCCTCGATTTCGGATGGGCGTGGAACGCGTTATTACATCTTGTGCGATCAGGCTGTGTAGTTCCGAGGAGCTTGGAGCTTCCCTGGGAAGTGGTTTGCTGGTTTTACGGGATTTAACGGTAGCAGCTTGCTCTTGACTTTTGCAGGCATGGCCCGTCGATGTCTCAGCCGAGATGCGGGAAGTCTTGAAGCACGTGTCTCAGGCAGCCTCAGCAGATTCAAGTTGTCGGCGCTATTTGCAAGTCAGCTGCTGAGGAATGCTCTGTCGCAGTATCGGGAAGAAGCACTTTCAGCCAACGACTTGGACACTGCAGGTTCCAGGTTAAAAGTTCCAGCGCGCAATGGTAAGCGCCGTTTGTTAGCTAGCTGCCAGCTGCTAGCTTTTGATGCCCAAGGGTCTGTTATGGTCTGTTGAAGAGACCATCTTTGACGTGCGTAATCGGCCTGCAAACATAATAATCACCAGGGTTCCAGGGGCCCTACAGAGTCCGCAGATGTGCGAAGAACTGACGAAGCCCAGGATGGGCAGCTTGCTGCGGCAGATGGCAGCTTAAGTGCAACATGATGCTGATGACCGTTATGTCGCTTCGTCTCAAGCATCCTCACGTATTGCCAACGTGCGACGTGCACTACTCGCCCCCTCTCCTCATTTGCAGCTTGGCTGGTTTGGCACACGCATAGACCCATGCTCAAAGTAGCTCACTTTGGTTCAGGTGGGGTCGGGATCAGTTGTTCGGAGCAATGAAGAACCAAGAATGAAAGTCAAAGGGCTGCATGTGTCTCATGAGCCGATGGGCTTCTAACGTCTTCGCCTGCGGAGCTTCATGTCAGAGCCTGGAAACAGCAAGGCCTGATCTTCGAGATGTGTGCTGCGAAATGCAAGGTCCTAGCCATGTCCTTCTTCTCCCAGCTGATGGGCGCCCTGACGTGCGGCCAGTCCGCGCGGCGGCGGACCCGCCCATGGAGCCCAAGCAAGCCCTCTGTCTGCTCAAGGCGCTTTGGGCGCTTGGGAGCAGAGCCATTGTTGCCACTTTGAGATTTGCGGTGGTAGCCGCAGTCCTGCCCGCAGGACGGCAACATGCGCTTCGTGGACGGACGCCCACTGGCCAACCGGACCAATGCAGCGATTCGCCAGGAGCTGGTGGAGCAGGGCCAGGCCCCACACACGGCCATCATTGGATGCGCGGACTCTCGCGCACCCCTGGAGACTATCTTCGACACCATGCCAGGCGCATGACTCATCTGTCTTTCCGCGTAATGCCCGAACTAGAAAAGGCCACGCTTTCTGGCGAGAGTCTATAGACTTAGTGTCTTTGTGGGGGGGCTAGAAATCTTAGAATCGACCTGAAGCACGCGTCTTGCGCGCGAGCATGAGGCGACATCTTCGTGCTCCGCAATGCTGGCAACACCTGCACACATGCAGCTTGATGGTGATAACTCGTTTTTCGCTGCATGTCAGCGTGCTAACCAATTTGGCACTCGCACGGGCTTTAGCATGCATCGTTGTTTGACATGATGACCGTTTGATCTGCCAGGCTGCCCCAACGTAGCCACTCCCAAGCACTGCACACAGCCATCGTTGGCAGCCTGGAGTTCTGCACCAGAAAGTTGGGTAGCCGCCTGGT